GGATGGAGGGGTGGGCGAGCGGATAGATGGGTTGATAGATAAATGCGGGGGTGGTTGGCTGGATGGACAGAGGGATGGTGGTGTTGATGGATAGATGGTCGGATGGACAAACAGGTGGATGGACAAGTGGATGGATGGATGGACAAATGCGTAGGTGGGTGGAAAAAGAGAAGGTGGTGGTCATGGATGGATGGGTGAACGGACAAATGGATGGATGGACAAGCGGATGGATTGCTAGACAAATGGATGGGTGATTGGATGGACAGAGGTGCGCCGGGGTCTTCCTCACCCCTTCGTCTTCCTCCCCTCCAGGTCCAAACAGAAGCAGGTGGAAGACACCAAAGAGAAGATCCCGCTCCAGCCCCAGGACAAAGCCCCGCAGAAGGAGGCTTGAGGGGCTCCGGGGAGGGGCTTGACCCCGTCCCGGCCGAGCCCCCACGGGAATAAAGCAGCTCTTCTGCGGCGCCACTGTCTCGGCCTCCCAATAAAGCGGCACCCCATAACCCCCTCTCCGGGGTTACCCTGATAATGGGACACCCCCATAACCCCCTGTCTGGGGTTACCCTGATGATGGGCTGTCCCATAACCCCACGTCCGGGGTTACCCTGATAATGGGACGTCCTATAACCCCCTGTCCGGGGTTACCCCCAATAATGTGACACCCCCATAACCCCACGTCCAGGGTTACCCCGATAATGCAGCACCCCATAACCACCCATTTGGGTTTACCCTGATAATGCGACATCCCATAACCCCACGACCAGGGTTACCCCCAATAATGTGACACCCCCATAACCCCACGTCCAGGGTTACCCCGATAATGCAGCACCCCATAACCACCCATTTGGCTTGACCCTGATGACACCCCATAACCCTGTGCCCAGGGTTACTCTGATAATGTGACGTCCCATAACCCTACGTCCAAGGTTACCCTGATAACACGACGCCCCCTCCCATAACCCCATGTCTGTGGTTACCCCAATAACACAGCACCCCATAACCACCCATTTGGCTTTACCCTGATAACACAACACCCCATAACCCCACATCCAGGGTTACCCTGATAACGTGACGCCCCCCCATAACCCCATCCAGGGCCACCTCACGTTCTCCCTTTCCACCAACCCTCCAGCCTTTGGGTGGTCCCCGAGCCCCATCCCAACCTCTTCCAGCCTCCCGGGGCCGGCCCATTCCCGGCGCTGCCCCTTCCCCGACTTCTCCCCGGGGGCCACTGTGGCCCTTGTCCCCGTGGCCACCGTGGCCCTTGGCCACCAACCATCACCCCGCGCCGGCCTCGTCAAAAATTAATCGCCGGCTTCCCCCGGCCAGG